GGGGGGGGGGTTCGTTTGTCTACTCACTCGGGAAAGAAAGGCAGGATGACAAGACCAACGACGGCGAAGCCCCATTGGGTTGAGAAAAGAATCTTATAAGTTAGGGCACCAGTATAAAAACTGGCCTGTCGCATAACGCCGTAACCAATCAACTGCCCGAGAACGATAGCGAAATTCATACCTGCAGTGATGGCACCTCTGATTGGCAACGGAGCCATCTCGGATGCGTACGTTGGAGCAACTGTCGTGAAACAGCCAAGCGGCACACCGGTGAGAACTTTACCTCCGAAGAACTCGGCAGGCGTCGAGGCAAAGACCTGCACGAATACTCCGGCAATACTGACCAGATAGCCTGCGCCAATGACGGGCTGGCGTCCCCATCTATTGACAGCGAGCCCGGCAACCAGACCACCAAACACAAGACCTTGGAAACAGTTACCAAACGCCGAAACTGGAACAACTTTAGTAGGACTTACCGAATAAAGTAGCGGCAAGCCACCCAAGCTGCCAATTTGCATCTACAACATAATCTCCCGCATATGGATAACCAAAGTCTTTTCTAAACTCTGCAATAGAGGTTACGACACCCCCAGCAAGTCCATCAAATCCCCACATAATACATATGAAGAACATGTACATGCCTAGCTTTGTCAATCATCGTGATTTGCAAGTGAAAGTGGACTTGTCAACATTACTCACACCATCCCAACGGTTTCACGTTCTTCTTAATGGCTTCCCACCGGGTAAGTGAATGTTGTTCGGCTTCAAACTCGGCGGCGGCTGATGTTGCCTCTAACACTCTGGAAGACGCGTCGGTATGCTGGACAGCACCCTTGACCGAGTCTTCAGTGGTATTCATTGCGAATGAAACCATGTAAAAGGTAGACAGTCGTTTCAGCTAGTTGCTCAAGTTATTTCGATCAGAAACCCTGGCAGACAAAGAAACTCAAAGGCCATGAGGGAAGGAGAGATCAACAGGACTGCGACCTAGACGGGTCAAGCATGTCTCTATATATAAACGAAACATTGTCGATGGTACTTATATAACAGCGATAGTCCATATTGCAGAGCTTATGGTCCACCACCCTACAACCCCAGAAATTGTGCCAAAAGGACTGGTTCCGGGGGTGGAGACTGGGAAGAGCTGGAGAAAACAGCGGAGTGCCGTGTAAAATGTGTAATGAACCCTGCATAACGTATGGGGAAAAGGGAAAAAAAAGACTAGACCACAAAAATTAGACCAGTGTGGTCCCTGTTCTATTTGCTCCTAAAACTGAGTCTGATTGGGCGAGATCTAGCTGCATAGTTCCGAGAAGTCGGTAATGCTCTTCCGAATACCAGCGTTGCCGGAGGACGCTAGCGGAGAATCTCTGGAGTAAGTCGAAGCGTTTCTCCTTCTGCCCCGGAACACATCTAGGGAGTGGGTATCAGTATATACAAGTCAAGTTGGCTTGCCGTTGGATCGAACCATGTGATTTATGAATAGGATCCTGGGCCGTCGGAGACGACGGCCCAGACGGGCTCTTCCTACCTACTGCGCTCTGCGCATGATCTGATGAAGCGGAGAATTTCCGGAGTATACCGTCCTCCCTCTTCTGGAGAGGCAAAGTTGGGACGGTCCACTCTAGATGCTGAGTGGCGCAGAGCGCTCTACCTAGAGTATCTGATGTGGGATTGTATTTCAGTTCGTGCTTCCATGATCATCCTTCTCGAATAAACCTATTACTTGCTCTGAAATTGCAGGATATCGCGCGTCAATTGCCGCGGTGGTAAGCAATGGCAGACTCCATTGGTGATTTGGATCGCGAGGTCAAAGACCTCGTCGCCCGTCTCACAGTCGACGAGAAAATCAGCCTATTGGCGGGCAAAAATACGTGGGAGACAATGCCAATAGAGAGGTTGGACATACCGTCCCTCAAAGTTTGTATTTGGCACAATAGTCATGCGCGTGCTCTGTTAACCCTTTGCAGGTATCTGACGGTCCAAATGGTGCGAGGGGAGCTGACTTCTTTGATGGAATGACTGCCGCTTGCTTTCCTGCATGCGTGTCTCTTGCCGCAACTTTTGATCGAGACCTATCAAGGCGCATAGGTCAGGCCCTGGGTCAGGAAGCTCAAACAAAAGGCGCATACGTCGTTCTTGGACCGACAGTGTGTACCCATCGATCTCCCCTGGGAGGTCGTAACTTTGAAGCTTTCTCTGAAGATCCTCTTCTCTCGGGTCTCATGGCGGCCGAGTATGTCAAAGGGTTACAGAGCGAAAGGGTGGGGGCTACCGTCAAGCATTTCCTTGCCAATGAGCAAGACACCCGCCGCTTCACTGTCAATGAGATAATCTCAGAACGAGCTTTGCGGTAAAATGTCTAGCTAATCATGTTTTGGAATCGCATTCACTAATTGCATGATTAGTGAGATCTACTTGCGTGCATTTGAGATCGTTCTGAAGAAATCGGATCCCTGGTGCTTCATGTCGAGCTATCCCAAGGTCAACGGACGGCATGTTGACGCACAACCACTATTTCTCCAAACCATTCTCAGAGAAGAATGGGGCTACGATGGGCTCCTGATGAGCGATTGGGGAGCAGTATCCAACGCCGTGGAGAGTGTGAAATTTGGGTACGTGAACAGCCATTCTCCAGTCGGTTTGACAAGAGTGCGCGTAGACTGACAGATGATGAATAGGCTTGGCCTTGAGATGCCCGGACCTCCAAGTCACCGCATTCCCGAAGCAGTGAAAAAGGCTGTACTTTCAGGACTCATCTCTGCTGAAGAATTGGACAGATGCGCTGCTACTTTTGTCAAGCTACTGAAGCGTACTGGTAAGCTGGATGACCGACGCAAGACTCCTCCTGAAAAGTCAATCGATCTTCCTGAACATCGGCATCTCATACGAGAGGCTGGGGCAGACGGCATCGTACTCTTGAAAAATCACCAGAACATCCTTCCCATCGACCCTCGAAAGTTCAAAAAACTCGCATTGCTCGGGCCATTGGCCAATTATGCAGCTGCCTACGGCGGCGGCAGCGCATCGCTCAACTGCCATTACAAAATTTCGCCATACGATGCCTTTGAAAACAGGCTTGGCGATCAAGTCGAGCTCAGCTACTCCAAGGGTAAGGTCATACAGACCTGATTGTATATGAAACATCACTTATGAATCATAGGGGCACATATATTTCGGGTGTATCCTGATTTGATTGACGGATCAAGGAACCGGGAGGGAAACCAGGGCTTCACGGCTGACTTCTACGATAATTTAGAGCTGGGCGGCGAGCCAGTATGGACAGAGCACTACGCCCGTGGCTTCTTTACATCAATGATGAACGACAGCCTCAAGGAAAAGCCACTATCTGCTCGCTTTGCCACCTCATACACGCCACCAGTTTCCGGGAAGCATTATCTCAGCTTCTCTGGCATGGGCCCGTCCAAGCTGTTCATCAATGGCGAAATGCTGAGCCACCAACAGAAAGAGACCAAGGACAGTATGACGTTCTTCTGTAAGTATGAGAAATTGATTCCCCCCC